CWMAWWTTGGATCTTTCAGGTCAATCTGGACCACTGGCAGTCCCAAGCATAGAGCTACTGATGCAATAAAAAGAYGGAGACGAAGRAAGAAATAGAGTATGTGCACCAATCAGATAATGTGGTTTACACAGACTGATCGTGTAATCTTATTGGTTTGACAGGTATCTAATGCAATACAAATTGTATCACATAATCCACAAAAGAGCCCAGTGTTCAAATGGTTAGGATCATATTTTTGTTCACTAATTAAGTATAAACGTACACTACAAAGAAGATTTGTTTTTTTTTTTTTACATAAATTTGCCTGGGTAGGCTGTATGCATAGTCTTTTACAAATGATAGGCTACCCCCTTGGATAAGACCTGTGGTCTGGTCCAAKGTCACGTGAACCAGTGTTTATGTAAGGCCCTCGGAAAGTTGCTTGTGGTGGTAGTGGCTTTGATGAATCAATAACAGGCTTCGTCTTTGTGGTCCTGAATGAATTAATAAAACAAGTAAATAAATAAAYAATGATAGCYTGAGGAAACAGAAAAATAGAATATCAAAATAGGTACTAATTAGAAATTCAGAATTCCATTTTACTTRCACAAAGAGGAAAGGAAATGCCAAGCCTGCAGCTRCAAAGGCCACCAAGCCGGAGGCCACAATGGCATTGCGCAGTCGAGGCATTAAGATTGTATAATCYGGCYAAGAAAGATGTATCAAGAAATAAACAAGACCATTTTGGGAAAGTAATTTCTGGAATGCTCTGGAGAACTAAAGGCAGTTAATGAATTATTTATTCTTTGGTTGTGTGTTATAACCTCCACAACATTTTCTTTTTTGTGATCATTAACACTGATCAACACTGATCCAGGAGATTTTATTGATACGAAAAGATGTTAAAGCAGGGAACAATACAAGCTATACAAAGCAACAACTACTGAAATCAAAGTAAAAACAGTGTGCCTCTGGGCCTTCTGCTCCTCAGAGCAAGTCCTGCTTGATCTCYTTCCCTTGCAAGACCTTTAGACAAAGTGTTTGGATATCTGGGTATCCAGCTGATTGAGCTGTGCAAGGAATTAGCCAATGCTTTAGTTTCTTCAATTAAGAACRTAAAAGACCAAGGTCCTTCCATTTTCATAGATCAATTTCATTAACAGTTACRTAGTCACCACCAACAAGATCACTCTAGCCAGATGAGAAGGCTAACTTTAACCTTTGTAAGTGATTATAACCTCCACGATTCCACTTTTAGGGACAAAAAATTATCTTTTATTCAGATTTTCATTAGTTTACTTCAGTCACATGAGAAAATTCCTCCATTTGAACATCTGTAGCAGAGACTACATCACTCACAATTAGGTATCTTTAAAGAGGAGAGAGTATCAGATTATGCTGATAATTATGAGGGGATGAAAGCTGCCACTAGARGAAAAGCGACAGTTAACAATTCCCTAGCAATGCAGTTCCTATTACTGGGGTCCTTGTTCATAAGAGATATCTCAATAAGACCTCTTTAATTACCTTGGTTCAATAGTTCATAACAAGGGAGAGATTAGGAGGATATTGCCTATGGAATTAGAGCAGGATGGGCRAAACAGATGATTGCATCAAAGCCCTATGAGATTAAAAGGAAATTTCACAAAATAGTTATAAGGACAACAATGTTGTACGGAACAACCGAACAAAGGGGCCATTACTTGGTGTAATGGTAAAATATTGGGCTGGCAAGCGTGAAAACACAGATTTGAATCTGAGGGTGGCCACTCTGTGTGGAAAAATGCCAAAAATTAGGACTATACCCAGTCTACCCCTCCCATGACCCCAAAGAGCTGGGACCAACATTGGGTAATGGTCTTTAATGTTGTATATAATGAAGTTTGGGCAGTCAAGAAATAACATGTAAAAAGATGAGTTTAGAAAAATGCAAATGTTGAGATGGATGAGTGGAAAAACTAGAGAAGATTGGATTAGAAATGAATTTAGCCTAGAAACCTAGAAGTAGCTCCAGTAGGTGATAAAATATGGAAAGTCATCTAAGATGGTCTGGCCACACACAGAGAAGACCATCTAAAGCACCATGAGAAGTGGCCTAGTACAAGTTGGCGGATCTAGAAGAGCTGGGGATGAACCAAAAAGGTCATGGATTGAAGTGGTTAAAAATGATTTGAGGGGGTCCATAGTTTAACAATGGATATAGCACTTAAAGAGTGGAATGGCAGAACAAGATCCATGTAGATCCCAAATGCTTCACAAATGTCAAGAAAGAGAAAATGATATAAAATACTAAATTAATCCTCACTGGCATTTCAAGCTATAGACATATTGTGGGTATTTCTAATTACAAAAATTAAAATGGTACATAACATGATCAAATTAGATGAGCCATAACAAAGATATGAACAGGGGAGTTTATCTTTAATAGAACAAAATAACCTGATCAAAATGGAAAAAGAAGAGTACCCAAAGTAAATATAGTAAGTTGAAAAGAAAGAAGAGAAGAAAGGAAAAATAGTCAAGAAAAGAA